AGGAGCCAAAAAAGACCAGGACCCAATCTTTTCTGCTACGCTCAGTGCCTCTCTAGCTAACAACGGAAATGACTACATCTGACTGCATGTTAGCAAGACAGGTTTTTATTATTATGTGTGCTGAAACAGCCATGGATAACTGAGCAATGGACCAGGCTCCCATTTCTCACAATAAACCAAGATAATTTAAAAAAAAACTATATAACAAAAACATTGCTAAACATGAAATGAAGCATATGTCTCCATATATCATTTATCTTCAGTGTACCTACAGGAGAGACAGATTCACAATGAACTCCAGGACAGGGATAACTGTTCAGGGTTCACAGGAGCTTGATATCAACACAAATCTTGCAGTATTTCATTCTATTTCCATTTCCCAGATCATCTTGTTTGAGTTTATTTTTAATTTTTTATAGTTAAAGTATAATTATATAATTTCTCTCACCCCTCTCTGATATCCCTCCCATGTTAGATATTTCATTTCTCTGCCAAATTCAGGACTTCCTGTTACTATCTGTTATTGCTTTTGCACATGAATCAACATACAAATACAACCTGCTGAGTTTATTCAGTCTTTCCTGAATATATATGTTTGTAGGGCTGACAACTTGGTATTAGAAAAACAATCAGTGGATTCATCCTTGGGTAAAACAAGTTCTCTTTCTGTCTCTACTTGTTAATTGTTTGTAGTTCTTCATGTAGAAGTGAACTCCATGAGATTTCCCCCGTCTACATTGGGATGCAAAATATTGCTGGGATTGTTCAGGTCTTGTTTATGCAGCCATGATGTTGAGAATTCAGGAGTGTAAGTAGTAGAAGTGTAGTCGTAGAAGAAGACTTCAAATCCTAGCAGATTTTATGGCCCTGTGACTCTTCCATTCTTATATCTCCCTCTGCTGAGCCTTGGTTACAGGAGTTGTGTTGTAGATGTGCTATTTGAAACTAAGAACCCCAGGGCCATTTGATTTCTACATTTGCTTAGGTGTGCCTTTCTGTAATGAACCCATGCTAGAAAATAATGTTCCTTTTGAAGAAGATTGAGACATATATCTTTATCTGAAGATTTGGAACTAGAATGTGCAAATGAGAGAACATGGCGAAATAACCTGTCTGAGACTGGCTTACTTCATGCAAAAGAATATTTTCTGGTTCCATATTTATACTTCCTAAATTGCTGTAAAGAGACGAATACAAACCAAGGTCAACACATACAGAGTTTAATAAGGTATTTCCAAATCATGAAATTAAAAAATCAGTTTTTGCTCGTGCTTTCTCTACTTCTGCTCCTGATTTGGACCTTGAGATTTCAGTCCGGTGCTCCAATGTGGGTCTCTGTCTCTGTCTCCTTTCATCACCTGATGAAGGTTAATATTCAGGAGGATGCCTATATGTTTTTCTTTGGGTTCTCCTTCTTATTTAGCTTCTCTAAGAACCCGAATTATATGCTCAATGTCTTTTATTTATGGCTAGAAACCAAATATGAGTGAGTACATCCCATGTTCCTCTTTTTGGGTCTGGCTTACCTCACTCAGGATAGTGTTTTCTATTTCCATCCATTTGCCTGCAAACTTCAAGAAGTCCTTGTTTTTTACTGCTGAGTAGTACTCTAATATGTATATATTCCATACTTTCTTCATCCATTCTTCAATTGAAGGGCATCTAGGTTGTTTCCAGGTTCTGGCTATTACAAATAATGCTGCTATGAGCATAGTAGAGCATATACTTTTGTTGTATGATAAGGCCTCTCTTGGGTATATTCCCAAGAGTGGTATTGCTGAATCCAGTGGTAGGTTGATCCCGAATTTCCTGAGAAACCTCCACACTGCTTTCCAGAGTGGTTGCACAAGTTTAGAGTCCCACCAGCAATGGATGAGTCTTTCTCCACAACCTCTCCAGCAAAGGCTATCGTTGGTGTTTTTTATTTTAGCCATTCTGACAGGTGTAAGATGGTATCTTAAAGTTGTCTTGATTTGCATTTCCCTGATCGCTAGGGGTGCACCCACACACTGAGACAATGGGGATGTTCTATTGGGAACTCACCAAGGCCAGCTGACCTGGGTCTGAAAAAGCCTGGGATAAAACCTGTCTTGCTGAACATAGCAGACAATGAGGACTACTGAGAACTCAAGAACAATGGCAATGGGTTTTTGATCCTACTGCACGTATTGGCTTTGTGGGAGCCTAGGCAGTTTGGATGTTCACCTTACTAGACCTGGATGGAGGTGGGTAGTCCTTAGACTTCCCACAGGGCAGGGATATTAAACAACACTATTAAATAACAAGACGGAGGAAGTAGCCGCTTTTTTTAAAGGGAGAAAGACCACGCCCCAATGGGCTTGTATCACAGCAGCTATTGGTTGGAGGGGCAGAAGGACCTCCTGCAACAGAACACACTTTGCAGTTTGCAGGGGATGAACTGGTTGGAAAGTCACCTTTCTAGGCAGCCTCTTTGGACTCCAATTCTTCCAGGGACCTCAATTAACTTCTGTTATTCTTTCCCAAGCAATTCAGCTCATGTGAGCCTCTTCCTAGTGAACAATATTGTTTCTTCCAAGCATTGCAGGGGTTCTGACAGCCATTTAGGAAGTTCATCGTGTCAGAGAGTGTTCCTCAGCATTTCTCACAGTGTATGCATGTTTGGACAGAGGTTCCTAATTAATTTGACCAGGTTCAAGTTTGGAAGCCCTTGAATATTTATTTCCTGAACATAACGAGTTCTCCTGCAGAATGGGGAGATGTTTTCTTTCCCATTAAAACCCATCTTGTTTCACCTGCTTCCATTTTAACATCTGACATCATAAGAAGCTTCCCTCCAAGGTAGGAGGTTTAATCTCAGAGGAAACTGCTACAACAAAGGGTTAGCTTTCTAACTTCCATAACAGACAACTGAACTCAAGGAACCCACATGGTTTCGACATCATAAATGAGAAGGCAAAGATAAAACACATGCATATCAAAAGATATTAAAAATAATAGAAACTGTATCAAAACAAAGGAGATCTCTACTTTTTTTGACCTCTTCATCAAGTCTCTGCCTTTATCCTAGCACGTGGGAAAACTTACCAGCACCAAACACTCTCTGACACAATGAGGTGCCTAAATGTCCTATAATTCAACCACAGAGGCCAGTTGACTTAATTTATAGAAGAGTTTATGATTTTCTACTTCCACCCTTATCTCCAAACATCCAACATATTATAAAATATGCAGTGCACATTATAGGTCATACCAAAATGAAACTATGAATAAGATTAACTGACATTTTCTGGGGGCAAATGCTGTGAGATTAAGGTTGTTCCTGTTTGCTATTATAGGAAAAAAATGTGGGATTTAGAAAATTGACCCATCCTGGATTTGTAGAGTTCAGTCCTTAATAGGGAGATAATAAAAATTTCTTATCTCTTTTTGAATGTCGGTTATCCAACCTCACTGCGGCATTGCTGATAGATACATTAAAATATGACAGTGAAAAAGCCAATGATCAGTTAGACAACAGGCAGGGCACACTATCTGTGCTCAGAATATACTCACCCACACTGGAACACAAGCAAGATGATGGGTACTGTAGGAGAAGTTTTGGGATTTGTTAGGTATAAAAGCAAAAAAGATGACAAGAAAAAAGGAAAAGGTTCATAAAGGGAGTCATTGGAAGGCAAATCATAAGGGATTTGTGTTGAGACTACAAAGGCTATTCCAGGTTAGTTCTGCATCTCTGTGCACTTTCCCCTTTGACGTCAGTACACTAAAGGCGAATGAGATACACTGACATCATATGTTGAGAGATAACCTTGAGTTTGAACTGTAAGTGGGACGTGTCTTACTGGGAGAAACGGGATCATGGTAAGTTGAAATTGCTGATTCATCCTTGGTCAATTTGAGCTGAGATCTTGGACAATAAAGAGCCTATTCCTACCAAAACCTATCATACCTGTGGTTTGATATCATACCTATCATAATCCATAGCCAGTTATTGGGGCAATAAGTATAGCAGAACAGAAATGGCCATGGATTTACTAACTACCTTAATGATCTATGTTTGACACTTCAACTGAATCTATTTTATCAGCGCTATACCAGATATAACACAGCGGTCTCGGGCAACTGAGTTTGGATAGCAAAACATAGTACAGTTTCTCACCCCGGCCAAGTTAATCTGCTCCAGTTCTCCATTCTTGTTAAGACATGAGATTTCTTCTTCCTCTATTGTTCCTTGATACAACACTTCTGGGTACTTATAATACTCAACATCAAGAGCATTATACATTGTCCTGAAGCTGGTCACTCACTGTTTGCAAACTTTTCATGATATAATGCTATCCTCTTCATGGCTTGTTATTTGAAAACCACGAGGAAAGGAAGCAAAATAAAATGAAAGGTTGAGTAGAAGGCACTGATCATATTAGCTAAGCATCCCACCAATACTTTCAAGCTAACTGAAAGCATTAAAAGTGCCCTTTGAATGTTTGTGTTTCTAATTCCTTAACACTGAGGAAGTATCTACTCTGTGAGAAGAAAGTCTTTTGAGTTTGGAAGATACATCAATAAAATCATGTATTAATAAAATGTTGGGAATAATTAACTGTTTCTAGGGCATGCTGGCCCAAAACTTCAAAGATAATTGAGGGAGGGCATTTGTCACCACCTGAAAATTTTGTGGAACTTCATAGATGACATGACAGAAAGAATATATAACTCTGATCTAGAGAAAAATAAGAGGAAATCTGTATATTTTCCTCCATGACATGACTCTGCGTCATTAATGAACTTAGATGACACTTGTGATTTCCAAAATAATTTGAACCCTGAACATTTTTGCCAAAAGCAAAAACAATACATACAGAGACAGAACTGTGGCAAGAGTAAGGATTATATCAATACTTCTCACATAGATAGAATCTTGAAACTTTTACCTAGTCAAAAGACACTGCTTCCTTCTGCACTTAGACTTAAATGGTCATAAGTAGGGAGATCCTGTTAGTATATATAAGAGGAGGTGAATTGCGAGAAGACAGCATTCAGGTGCAGAAGCTTTCTTGTGCTGTAGTTTACACTGCAGCAGATTTTCTCAGAGATGCAGCTGTCACTGGCTCAACTGTCCTTCTGTAAGTAGTAATTCTTTCATGTTTCTCTACTCTATTAGCATATTATTTTGTGAAAATGGGTTCTGGTAGAATGCATTCTTTGGAGTTATTGGTATTGTAATATTTGGGAAACGGATGCATTTTATTACGCACCTGGCATCAGGTCAACAATGTGCTGATAATTAATTTGTAAAACCAGTTGCTGAATTAATCTGGAGATCAATGGTTCTCTTGGGGAATTCTGTAAAAGCGTATGCCAAGCTTATTCTTATATCACTTTAACTTAGTTTATTCTTATTTCCTTGACATAGCAATAAGAGTAAAGAGAGTTACTGGCTTCTGATGGGCACTTTTACCAATCTTCCACTGCACAGCACACTTTCTAAAACAAAAATATAGTACAAAAATGACAAAATAGCTGAAATTGAGAAGTTGGACTTTTTTGAAAACACAAGCTCACTAGCATACTTGGGCCAGTCACAGAAGGAGAAAGTAAATTGTGGGTTGTCAGGGTTTGGATGTTTTTCTCCTCAATAAAGTCCACCTGAGGAACAGTTAGATTTTGGCACATCATTTAAACAAAGAGAGTAGGTTTGTGACTTTACCAATTTGTTACATGCAAATAAATGGTGAAGAGAAAAGCCCATGTGTTTTAAAAAGTCATCTTAATATTCAAGAGATATTTGCATGAAAATTAACTTTAATGAGATGGAAAATTAACACAAATTACCAAACCTTAAAAATATTAGAAAAAAATGGCTTAAAATCTCTGTCTCAAAACTAATTTCATCTCAAAACGTTTGCAAATTTTAGAAACTCTATGGGGGCAAGCAAAAGCCAAGGTGATTCTCCTACCTCACAATCTGTGGCTTTGGGAAGCATTACTGTTCACCTGTGCTTCCAATTTGGACTACTTACCCCAGATTTCATGTATATAAACCCAAGTATTGTAGCACAGAGACCTCAGAAAAGACTGTACAGTCTATATAGTGTCACTCATATGTTCTCCATTGAGTGGATCATCTCATTTTCATTTCTTTTTCTAGCTGGGACACTCCTTTTGCTGACATCATCAAATCTGCTCCTTTTGGATCATGTGTCCTCCTCACCAAGTTCCCTTTTGTCCTCTGGAAGCCTATACCAATTTGTGGTCGAACTTTCTCACTACACCCACGATTTGGCCTCAAAAGTCTTCACTGACTTTGTAAGTACTGGATCTTCTCTGAAGGGACAATCAGAACACTCAACTAATGAAAGAGTAACCTAATATGAATCACGTTTCAAACACTATATATGTAATGCTGAAATAGTAAATATTTCATTAAAAAATTTAATATTAAAAGATTAAAAATTTCAGTTGACATAAAACATGAGCAAGAGACAATTGGATGATTCATGAAAACTTAAATTTGTAAAAGATGTAGTAACTCTGCAATTTTTAACATTGTTTTTTTTTCAAGAAACTTCATTAGATATAAAGTACAAAATACATTGATCCCTTTGAACTCCTGTCTTTTGTGAAGGGGTCCTTCCTTCACAGGTGCTTTCACTTTGCACTCTTTAGATATCTGGCATAGGAGAATTGTTTTGTAATTAATTGTGTGAGTGGATTTGAACTAAACTACAGGAAACCATGTTAAACAGAAAGAAATAGCTAGTGAGAACACCCAACATGCTTAGAATTGTTGTTTTTCTAAATACCCCTTGACCAAAGAATCGATAAGGAAAATCTGGTACATTTACACAATGGAGCACTACACAGCAAAGAAAAATAACAACATCTTGAATTTTGCAAGAGAATGGGTGGAGCTAGAAAACATCATTTTTAGTGAGGTAACCCAGACACAGAAATACAGTTATCACATGTCCTCACTCATACGCTGTTTTTAAACATGAAGCAAAGAAAACCAGCCCACAAATCACAATCCCAGAGATTTTAGACAACAATGAGGTCACTAAGAGAGACTTATATATCCAATCTACATGGGAAGTAGAAAAAGACAAGATCTCCTGAGTAAATTGGAAGCATGGGGACTTTGGGGGAGGGTTGAGGGGGAGGGGAGAGGCAGGAATGGGAACCAGACAAAGGTAGAGCTCAATAAAAATAAATTAAAAAAATAGTTGTTTTCCAACATCCAGGGATGAGAGTATCAGGGCAAAGTACAGGCTGGTTTTCAAAAACTGAATATGTTAGATTTGTCTAGGGCAAGTCAATAGTAGAAAAAAATGAATTCAGTGCTAGACTGGAATACGGAGCATATATTTTCAGAATTATGATGAATATACCTCACCCTTGTGATTTTCACTCACGAGCATTTCTTTCATTCTAAAATCCATATCCGTAGTTTCTTAAATGTACAATAATCCTTGACATTAATTAAACTTTTACAAATTTAATGATTACTAGTATTAAAAATACACTATAGATAATAAATTCCTTAAGTAGATAAAATCTTCAATTGACTAATATATATATGATATATGTAGATAGATGTATTTTAATTCTTCATTCACTCACTGATAAATATTTCTTTAGAATATGTCTAGATTTTTATGATTCCTGTTGGCACCATCAATATAATTGCATACTACCTTTATAACTTAAATGGATACTTAAAGTAAATACTTATATTACAATATTTGTTTAAAGGAAATGGACTACTGGGTGTCAATTGTAACATAATTATGAACACGCATGTGCTATTGTATGACACTCATCTCCATAAAGAGGAAAAGTGATGCTTAAACGTTTGGTGGTTTACAGTATGTGTGTTACTCAGTGCTCTTTCTAAACAATACCATTTAGGAAGGGCAAATGACAATAGAACAACAAAGAGAGGAAGAATATTGGTGGGTAAAATATTAGATTGATTCTCCCATGGACAGAAAATGTAGGCACTCTTCTTTTCATTCCTCTGTTTCAATTTCTATATATTTCTTATTTGCTAAGACATTTACATCTATAAAATCTTCTGTTACTGATGTGGTTATGAATGTATTTGTTCAATGTTTAACGCTAAGAAAACAGACCTTTCAATTTCTTCCAGAATATGAAGTTTGGTAGGAGTGTTTGGAAACAGAGCCTGATGATAAGCACATGCCACACTGCTGCCCTCCCTGCTCCAGAAAACAGAGAACAAGTCCACCAAACAAAAGTAGGTTTCCTCCCTGATTGTGACCTAAACAAGCGATGTCATATACAAGGTAGATCTGCTGTGTGTGATTACTGGGGCCATAGCACATGTGACAATCTCAGAGTCTAGAGAAGGGAAGAAGAAGCAACAAACAGACAATGACATTATATGGTTGATAATTTCTCTCTAGCAGCTTAACAAATTGATCACCTAGAGCACCATTTTTTAAAAATATATTGTCTGTGGAGTTATCTTTAATATTATCTGGTAAGCTTTAATAGGAGTTTGAAATTCACAGTTTATTCTATTCTTTGTCTTAAAACTTCTGAATATGATTTACACAAAATTTATTATGTGTACACTTCTTACACATGTAGTGTATTTCTTCGTCATATTCATTACCAGAACTAGTAACATACACAAACACCTCTCATAAATAAAATGTGAGTATAATTTTGGCAACTGAAGGATGAAAAGGTACAGGAAGTGATCAACATTTCCTCAGATCTTCTTAGAGTGAAGCCCCTAAAAGCAGTCCGTTGTCATGGATTCATTTAATCCCTAGAAAAGTTCTCTATTATGTGGTATTAGTAAGACTACAAAGAATTGAGGCTCACCTGGACTTCAGTTGGTAGAACTCACAGTGAAAACAAAACGTGATCAGTTTCACATTTTCCAGAAATCATTGTTAAGGAAAATCAATTCCATTAGAGAAAATTGTAATTCTCTGATAAAATGTTATTTCTAGAATACACATCGCATGCTAAGACGGGTTTCTATACTCCTATTATTAATAATTCAATACTCAAGCTCATGACCTTCAGTCAGTCACCACATATGTTAACCCTGAAATCCTCTTCATGATCCTTTAGTCGGAAGACCTTCTGAAAGTGAGCATCTGTATTCTACAAGACTGGTAAGATCCTGTGAAGCTCATGGTAATTATAGTGGCTAGGCTTCCGGATGCATCTGATGTTATGATCTCAAGAATCAAGGAGTTGGAGGAACGAATTCTAGGCCTTCTGGAGGGATTAAAGATCATACTCAGCAGGGTAAGCCCACTTACCCTTCTCATTCCTTTGCTTATCTCCTATGTGAAAGAATTGATTTGTTTAATAAAAAGTGAATTTTTCAATACTTCATTTCTGGGATATATATAGCCTTGCCAAAAAGGAGAGGCCATTTGTTGACTCTCTATTCTTCATTTTCTGTACTGAGAACCACACACAGTAGTACTCTCAATAGAAAATATCTGGTCCTCATAGTAAATCAGAGAGTAGCTTTCACTGGTGGTCTGGCTATTTCTGAATAACTCAGAAATTCTGATAATAGTCTTGAAACTAAACTTTAGCCGTTTTGAAAATGTTTGATATGTTCATGAGTTTGAAAGAATACATTCTATGAAGAATAGATTGAGCTTAAAGATGGAGGGCTAAAATAATATTCTCCTCAAATCCACAAGTATTTATAGTACCTCGGAGAATAAGCTGAGAAAACATCAGCCCTTTTATTGTTCTTTGGTTAAATGCATATACACCATGAAAAACATCTTCCAGCTTCTTGATCACTCAGTCTTCTTTTACATGGATATACCTCTTCTGGTACCAATGATACATCATAAAATATGTATATTCATGAATGATATTTACTTTATGAGGCCTAATGCCTTCAAGATAATATATGATAAATTCATTCTATACTAATAAATTTTCCTTCTAGTGTAATCAATCTTTGTCAGTTTTATAGAATGAGGCTAAAGAAAGACTCAGTCTATCAATGTCTTCTTCAGCAGCCAGGAATTTGATCTCAGAATCCACATCAAAGTAAAGAGATGTACTGAGTACTCTATAGTATCTAAACATTAGGTGGGAAGAAAGATGGTGAGTGTTTGCTAAAATAAGAGAAGATGCCTCAAAAAATTATAGTGAAATATAAAAATCAACTGTTGAAGTTTAAACACTTATTCTGTTTCACAAATGCTGGTGCATAAATTGTTCAAGTGTGTACCCCATTCATATACATACACATACACATGCACACACACATATTATATATATATAATATATATTCATGTATGAGAAGGTATGACTACCAATTAATGATATTTGTAAATAATCCCTTTCATTTCTATGTTTAGATTCAGCCTGGAGCTGTTGAAAATGAAAACAGTTTCTGGTATGGATTGTCAGATTTGGATTCGTCAGATGAAGACACTCGTAACATCGCTTTGTACAATCTCGGCCGCTGCTTGCGCAGGGATACACATAAAGTTGACAATTTTCTCAAGGTCTTGAAGTGCCGAGATGTTCATAACAACAACTGCTGAGCTTATAGCCTTATCTTCTGTCATGGAGAAGGCCTTTAATAATCCATGCTTTCAAAGCTCCATTGAATCTTTACCTTTTGGTGCATTCTTAGGCATAATGTGTATGTTATTCAAAAATAAACATTGACTATTTGAAAATGTGAAATTCAAAAAGAGGATTTGTCAATGTTCCTTGTGAATTTAATGTAGAATTTAGTAATGGTATTATGATATCAATATCAAATATTTTTCACAAGAAAGTTTAGTTTGCAAAAGTCAAGAGAGTACGTGTGTTAGTTGGAATGCATGATGATGACTTAACATATTAGAGCCAGAGCAAGAAGAGTTTCCCAGTAATCAATGGATCCATTCTACCAAGAAGATGGATGTTTATGAAAGCAAATGATAGGCAATGAGCCCTTTCTCAAAGTCTCATCACAGACAATACAATTTTATAGTAACATTAAACACATTACACATACTTATACACAAATACATAACATATATGCAAACACAATGAAATTAGAGCATTTATTCCTTTTTTCCTTCCTCCAATGCCTGTGTATTTCTTTTTTGCTTTTTTTTCCCCAAATTTATGGTACAGCATGAATGTTCTTCATTGAGCTGCACACTCACTTGCATGCTGGGCTAACCTTAGTCAGAACCACACAGTCACAGTTCCCCAAGTCATTTTTTGCTTGAAGAAGTCCTATTTAGGTGGCAATATATTATTAGGCTGAGGAGTCCTGGAGAGACACTACACACACACACACATACACACACACACACACACACACACACACACACACACACGTGCATTCTTCCCAGATAGAGATTCCATGAGAGACCAAATTAGAGAAATTTCCTAAACACACTGTGCTGAGCCAGTGAAATTTATTGTGGTTTAAAAATAATATGGGTGAGAAGCACAAGAGTAGAAATAGCCCAAAGAATGATTCATCACCAAGTTGCACCCTGACATGTGTGATACCTAAGGAAGCTGCCAACCAGGGGCACAATACACAACCAGAACACAACTCTACAGGAGATAGGTTGTCCTATCCCAATGGCTCAGCTGGTCTGATCCTTTTCTAAAAAGCTCAGTTGGTCTTTACTTCTTCTATGCTGTTTAATGGTCACTGTTAGTACTAGGTTTTTGGCTCTGTCCTGGTTCTTCCAGGCTGCTCCCCAAGGTCTCTATCCTATCTGAGTAGCTCGACTCCCCTTAGAATGATATTAGCCATCATTACTGCATATATGCTTTTGAGAACGGAGAGGCCTAAAGAATCTCTCCAGTTTCAAGGATTTCTGAAGAATTTTGAGGAGTTTGCTTCCTGTTCTAAGAGAACTTTCTTTTAAACATTCAAGATGAGCATGTAAGGGGGGGGGAGCAAAAATTTATTTGTATACCCAGCAAAACATAGAAACATGGGGCACACTCTAAAACTTAGACAAAGCCCAACTTCTTAGAACCCTCCTTGATCTCAAATAGGCAGTAATTGATCTCTGAGGCTTTCATGAAGCACAAGTGATCTCTCTTTTTCTTTTTTCAAGCAAATAAGTTCATGTCTGCCTCTTCTAGGATCAAATGATCTCTACTTTCTCCTGGAAGTATAGCATATCAGAGAGCATATCTTATCATTATTACAGTTTATACATGTGTGGGATGAAATAGACCTAGTTTATTTAGTCAAGTGAAAGGTACTTTCTGAATATATCCCGGTTTTCCCCTAGTGCATAATGAACTTTACTTCAGGATGGAATGTTTCTGTTTGTTAGAACACCTATTCTTTCACAACCTCTGCTTTTAACAGCTGACATTAATAATAATAATAATAAAAACTGCCTCCTAAGATGGGAGGCTTAATCTCAGAGAAAACTGTTGTAACAGTGGGCTCACTTCCTTTTTTCCATAACAGAAAACCTATCTCAGATGAGGTCACAAGGTTTGGGCACCACAAATTAGGAGACAAAGACAAAACCCAATCACAAAAAGGTCAGAGAGAATAGTTAGAATCCAAAAATGAAGTGCTCCATCACAAACCTGAGCTTTCCTGCCTCCTGGCCAACCTCTCCTTATGCAGATGGCTCACTAGACCGTGGAATGTACATATTCTACAAATTGTCACAAAGAGAATAAAATACATTAACAACAAACTTAAAGCATTTCCTACAATTGTGCGAATCATGAAATTCAACAGTCTGAGCAATCTTTATATGACCACCATCAGGCTGAGATGATAGATCTTTGGATAAACTGCTTCCCTGCCATCTTAAAGACAAGTTTGATATCTAAAATCAAAGTATAGACAGATACCTGGCATGCTGGCATGTGCCAGTCCTGGTGTGATAGACACAGTAAGGTCCTGACTCACACTTCAGCTATGCTACCCTGATTTATGAGAGTCAAGCAAATACAACAACCTTTAAAAAACAAGTAAAAAGTTCCTAAAAATGACAAGAAGGTTGTATCCTGAACTCTGTCTTTATGTATACACAGTATTTTAAAAAAAAACACACAAAAGACCTAGAAACACTGGGATAATACCAAAATCAAAAGGTTCCCAATTCTTTTTAATCTGTCCGTCCAATGTGAATTTATATAAAAATTAAAGCCTCAGACTGAAATTATAGCATCAAAGAATATATCAACAAGATCAACCTACTGGATTCCAACCCCAGGGGCCAGTTCACCATGAGATTTCTTGATGGATGCTTTTGGACAAAAAGATTCGTGAGCAGACAGGTGGGTCTGTAAGCCCATAAAATGAGCTTCTATGGTCTCCATAAAGCAAGAAACAAGACGACAAAGATGACCTAGTTGTTGAAATTGAGAAGTTGAACTTAATTGAAAACATAGGATTCAATGGTCTAATTGTTTTAGTCACAGGAGGAAGTAAATTATGGTGTTTGAGGGTTTGGATATTTCTTTTATTCCATAATCCATCTAAGGAGGAGTTAGGTTCTGCAACCTTAATTAGACCATGACAGTAGATTTGGAACTTTACCAATTAATTACGTGAGATAAATGACAAATGGAAAAGAAGGCCGGTTTTAACAAGTCACCTTAAGTTTCAGTGATATTTGCAAGAAAAATTAATTAATAAACTAATTAAAATTTGTTTAATGAAGTTAAAAATGAATTTAAATTTCCAGTACTTTTAAATACACAGAGAATGGCTTGAAGACTCTGGCTCTGGATTAATCTCAGCTAAAATTTTATTAGGTTGCGAAACTCTGATGAGGCAAGTCTAAGCTGAGGGAATTCTCTTACTTCTCAACCTGTGGATGGGAGAAATACAAATATTTACTTGTTTTCTCACTGGACTGTTGTTTCAAACTCTATCAATACAAATCAAATATTGTAGCATAGGAAACTCTGTACAGACAGTGTATCCTACACAATGTCACTAACGCAACTTCATTTGACTAGGTGACCTCAGTATCATTTCTCCTTACAGCCACGACACTGCTTTTGCTGGCAGTATGAAACCTGCTCCTTTGGGAGCATGTGACCACCTCACCAAATTTCCTGGTGTCCACTGGAAGCCTAAACCGATGTGTGGTTGAACTATCACACTATATCCACGATCTTGCCTCAAAAGTGTTCATTGATTTAGTAGGCAGTATACTCCCTTTAGGTTTCTATTATGAAGGAGCAATCAAAAAATTCTACTTTTAAAACATAACCCATCATGAATCAAATTGCAAATGCAGTATTTAATAAGTAAAAAAACAGACCTGATTACATGAGCAAGGAGATTGGTAAGTTTCATGAATATTTAGGCTTGTAGATAAAAGCCGTAAATGTTCAATTTTTATCAACTAACTAAAAAAAAAAAAAACAGCAACAACATGTAGGCTGAGGATGTTTGTTTATTTCCTGGCAACCCAGACCTAAAATAAGCACACAGAAATTATATTAATTGCAATACTTTTTGTTAGTGCTTTAATTTCCAAACAACAGGAGAATACTAAAGAAAGTTAGAGCATTGTAAGGTAGAAAATTATATTACTTATGCAAAGGGCAGAAAATGCAGACAGTGTTTGCTTCGTTTCTTTGTTTTTACTTATCATTTGTTAAAATAATTTTTATAAAATTCATTACTGATGTGATCATAACTGTATTTATTCAGTATTTATCCCAAATAAAGAAACCTTTACATTTCTTGCAGAGTATGAAGTTTGGTGGGGAAAACCTGGACACAGAACCTGATGTTAAGCACCTGCCACACTGCCTCTATCTGCTCCAAAGAACCGTGAGCAGGTTCACCAAATAAAATCAGGTTTCCCCCTGGTTTTCCCAGAATCAACTGAAGTAATGTACAGCATATTTGTGTGGTGTGGCTTCTAGGGCCACAGCCGGTGTGATAATCTCAGAGACAAAAGAAGTGAAGAAGAGTCAACAATCATAATATGGTTGATAATTTCACTCTAAGACAAAGACTTGTTCATATGATGGCAAGGCAATAAACTGAACATTCAGAGCCCCGTGTTTCCACTGCACATTTCCTGTGGGGTTATTTTTATTATATCCTGGGAAGCATTAATATGATGTGGAATTTCCTGGTTGATTATACATTTATATGTGTGTGGAAAAGCTGCAGATACAGCAGTCTTTATGGAATAATAGTAATACCTCTTCTGGAAGTATATTACTTAATGAGAATGATTCATTTCTTTTTCATTTGAAAGACTCTCTTGGTTGTACTTCTGTTCCTTCATTATTTGTGAAAACCTCCACAACCGCTCAGTTTCATCTTGCATTTCAAGTGAATGTGAGCTGAAATGGGGGTTTCTTTGCATAATTTACCTTACTCTTGATGATAACCTTTGCTATGACGAGGACTACATATCTTAGCACTTATAACATCTTTACTCCAAGTTTCTGTAATAAACAACATGAAAATGATTTACACAAAACTTTGAATGTGGGCTTGTCTCACACACATAGTCTGTTTCTCCTTCATGTTCACTATTAGTACCAGACACCTAAACACAAACTCTTCTTAGGAATAAGTGTGAGTACAATAATGGTAATTGAAGGAACAAGAGGTATAGGAAGAGGTGAACATTTGCTCAGATCTACTTATCTAGAATCTTCAAAGGGCAGTTTATTAACATTGATTTATTTAAGCCTCACAAAAGTTCTCTTATA